GAGCCCCACCTACCCAGATGGTCATTAGGGCAGAGAACCGGTTGTTAAATTATTTGAATCCCACCCACCACTGCTGTGGGAGCATGGAATTTGATTTGGCTGAATGTGGTGGTTGGGAATCAGCAATGTGTTTTATACCGTATTCTATTTATCACTGCCATTCTAGCACTGAGCAGCATTTTGTAAAATAGCAATAGCATTAGCACTTAGACTTATATACCGCTTCATAGTGCTTTGCAGCCCTCTCTAAGGAGTTTACAGAGTCAGCCTACGGCCCCCAACAATCTAGATCCTCATTTGATCCACCTCGGAAGGATGGAAGGCCGAGTCAGCCTTGAGCCTGGTGAGATTCGAACTGCCAAACTGCTGGCAGCCGGTGATCAGCAGAAGTAGCCTGCAGTACTGCACTCTAACCACTGCGCCACCACGGCTCCATATTACAGCTTGTTTTCCACCTTGATCTGTGTATTTTCAAAAAAGTGGTTCTACCTAGTCCCGAGAGGTATTCATTGTCTCTGTCCCTTTCTTCCACAGGCCTCTTCAAGCTGCTCACCTTGGAGCTAGAAGGAAACCAGCTGCATGATGGCAATGTCCGCCCTACTGCTTTCAGGGCCCTGGGCAGGCTTATCTATCTGAGACTAGACCGGAATCATTTTCGGACTATCCCATCAGGTTTGCCTGCATCTTTGCAGGTGAGCAGAACACCTTTCATTTAGATCAGAAAGTAACTCCTGACGCAGTCTTTCCCAAGCTGGTATGCTTCCAGATGTGCAGAACCTGCAATCTCCATTGCGCTGGTTGGAGGTGATAGGAGTTGTAGCCCAACAGCTGTAATTGATGTACTGCCAACTCTTGGTTTGGAAAATATTGGCCACCTAGCCCAGGCTGGAAACAGAATCTGGAGGTTCAGTGGTTCATTATGTCAGCTCTGAAAAGCTGGAGGTGGTTGTTCAGGAAATTTTTAGTAATTATTAAGGCTGTCCTTCTCACTTGTAAGCTGCCAGGGCACATCTTCATACTCCTCTGTTTGATTAAAAAAACTTACCCAAATCTGATTTAAAGAAAGAGAGCAATAAGAGGATAAATCAGGGAGATAGCAATAGCAATAGCAGTTAGACTTATATATCGCTTCATAGGGCTTTCAGCCCTCTCTAAGCGGTTTACAGAGTCAGCATATTGNGTAAGGGTATGGCTAGCTGATGAGAGTTAAATAGCTTGAAATAGATCTATACTAGTCTCCCTTTATTTATTTATCAGCACAAATGCAACACACACGCACACACGCACACATATGCATAAAGAGCATAAAGAAAGCCCGTTGCTCAGGTTTTGAAATATATATTGGGCAATATGAAAATATTTAGAACAGAGATCCACCCGTTTAGTCTTGCCTCAGTAAACAATGAAACCTTTTTTGATTTTTTTAATTGCATGTCTGTTTGAAGTTGAATGAGGGATTTGAACTGCAGAGCATTGCAAGCCATTATCACAGGCTTCCCTCGGAGCAAGTAGGTTCAAAACATAAGAAAAAAAATAAGAGAGGCACCATTTAACAGGCCTACAACTGTGCTGTATTTCTAAAGTGTCCCAATTGCTTCCAAAATTCTGTACAGTTTTGATGATTTTCCTACCTCCAGTTTCAACTCTGGAAGGAAGGCCTAGTTTGCCGTATTTTCCGTGGGAAGCAGAGGGTTAGAGTTTTCCAGCTCACAAGTGCAGTTCAAAAATCCCTAGCTTGATTATATTAAGAGAGTTGAAAGGAGTAGCAGAAATGATGAAACTTATACATTATAGTCATTTTACAGTGATTAGTATGGTAGACAGAAACAGAACATCTTTCTTTCTTGGATGAACTTAAGAGGAAGAAATCTGCCCTATTATTTTAGAGGCATTAGGGACTCAGTAGTTTTGCTGATGAAATGAAGGCTTGAACTAAGCTGCTGATCCTGTTAACACCAATTATGTCTTGGCATTATCATACAAATTCTCTTTATCTACTATTTTCCTTTCTCACTTGCTAGCACTGTGCTGTACAATACAATTAGAGATAACTCTAATAATTTTATTTGTCCTTCTCTCTAGTGTTTTGTCTCTAGTTAAGCAGACCTTGGAATTCTACATAAACCAAATGATTTAAAAGGAAAGAGAGTTAAGATAAATGTACTTTATAACCTTATACATACAAACATAGTGTGACCCTGTTTAGCACAGTGAAAAAAAAATACATTTGGCTTCAATTTAATACATACTCATATTTGGTTCTGTTTGAACCAAATATCAAACTCACATCATCACATGACGTATTGGGACTTTCCCCTCCCTTCACTAAACTGGGTGTGGGCATGGCCAGCGTGTGACACATCTGATCTGAGGGCTAGGAGTTTGACAACCCTGTGTTAGATGATTGGAATATGAATAATGAAGAATAAAACACATCTTTGGAATATCAATTTATTTCGTCTTTATATATGTATCAATAGGATATTGCATCTACTGGATGAATCTAGGAGTTCAGGTTGCAGTTCTGAACTCAGTTATTGAGTAGCAAGTCTCACTGAAAAAAGGGATTTATTTTTTTTAGTGTAACAATATAGGATTAAGCCATTTATCTCCTAAATTGTGGAATTATGTGAAAAAACATGCAGGAACCTCTTTTAAAAATAATGGTAATAATCACAGGTCAACTATTCAAAGATTTAGCCTATTCCTTTGATGAATAAAATAGAATTTGTACTGTCCAAGTGTGATTGGACACACAAGGAATTTATCTTCAGTGCATAAGCTCTCAGTATACATACAAACAGCAAGGTGATATCCATAATGGAAAAAGTACATTATATGTACATATGATAAATAGGATTTAACACATTCAAAATTCATAATAGCATCTGAAAAAACCCTCTTGTGATGATACTGTATCTTAGACACATTTTCAAAAATTATTGTAGATTTTAAAAAATAGTTACAATTATCTCTTTGACAGAGATCTCGGTATTCAGTGAAGCACAGTCTTCCTCTGCTGTTAATTTAAGTGGAATTCAAGATTTGACTCGGAATAAGAACATAGTGAGACCACTTGCTTTGCCTGGACAACTTGTAGGAAACACATTTGCAACAGGTAATACATTTTCACTCAAACTCATTGCAATCTAGGACTACTTAGACTCTAGTATGTAAAAGTTATGTGTAAAGTATCACAAAACATAAATAATTTGCTATAGAATTATCTTCGTGGAACAAAACAGATGATAAATACCTCATACTTCACATGTCTTCCTGTTGGTATTCTTCAAATATGTTTAATTCTTACCATTCTCAGCTAGATCAATCAATATAAAGGCACAAAGTATATCAGAAAGGCTTCAAATTAGTGAAGACAACTTTAAAATAATATTGCACTCAAATCAGGTTTCTGTGGTACTTATTACCAACACTAGGATTACCAGATTTAGGTTGCAGCAATCTAGTTAACCATTAGATCAGTGGTCCCCAACCTTTTTATCGCCGCGGACCAGTCAGCCTTTGATAATTTTACCGTGGCCCGCT